ATACACGTTCACAGTCGCACCTCCCGCGCCGCCATCCTCAACATAAAGCCCAACGTCAGCTGCAGGGCCGGCAAGAGGCCAACCGCCGCCGCATCCGCGCGATGAGAGGTCCGGGAAGCGGACGAGGATGGGGAGGAGGTGTACGACGAGGACACCGCCGCCGCCGCCGGTCCCCCCGCCACCACGGGGAGGTCCCTTTCGATCAGCCTGAGGGAAGGTGGGGGTGGAGGGGAGGGTGGGGGGGGAGACGAACCACGAACGAGTGAAGCTGGGGGGGAGGGTGGGGGGGGGAGACGAACCACGAACGAGTGAAGCTGGGGGGGAGGGTGGGGGGGGGAGACGAACCACGAACGAGTGAAGCTGGGGGGGAGGGTGGAGGGGGAGACGAACCACGAACGAGTGAAGCTGGGGGGGAGGGTGGGGGGGGGGAGACGAACCACAGACGAGTAATGCTGATACTATGGATAGACAATAGATAGACGGGTACTCTTTCAAGGATAGACAGATACAGACGGGGGGGGAGGGGGGAAGACACGGGGGGAGCGAATACGTGTGGGGGTTGTGGGGTGGGGGTGTAAGGGGGGATGTGTGTATGTATGTGAGTACATGTATGTATGTGTTTGCGTGCGCATGTATGTGAGTGTGTGCGAGTTAAATCAAGTCATGATGAAACACACTGACAAATTGAGGCAAGACAAAATGAGAAACCTACAGACAGACAGACAGACGGACGGACAAGGAGTCACACCCCTTTCTTCCCCCCTCCCACTTCCATGTCTCTCCCCTACCCTACCCCTCTTGCCCCTCTCGCCGCTCTCTCCCCTCTTCCCCCTCTCGCCCCTCTTCCACCTCTCTCCCCCTTTCCGTCTTCGCCGGCAGTTCATCCCCTTTTTCCGTTACACGATTTCCCCCTCTTCTACCCCTTCCCCGCCCACCCCGCGCCCATTCACCTTACTGCCCAGGACAGTTTCGTGTGTGTATTCACCAGAGGGTCGGTCCTGACCGCTTGAAGCATCGTGTTGAGGCACGACTGGTTGAGCGGCATCAGCTGTTTGGAGGGGGAGGGGGAGGGGGAGGGGGGAAGGTGAGGAACCAGATCAGGTGAGGGAGGGGGGGTGCGGGAGGGGGGGATGAGGGATGACCTGCAGTGTGTTTTACATAGGTTGCAGGTCGACGCTGAGCAGCAAAATACAAGGCCGGCCTGGGGGCGAGGGGTAAAACGGGGGATACTGTACGACAGTTTTTTTTGTGTGTTTGAAGGCAAGAAAACACAGCCAAACTGGAGAGGACTTGAAAATATCTATATATCTTTTTACATAGATATATAGACATATATAATTCACATAAATATGTGTATGTATGCATTTTGGGGAGTGCGGTAATCCGTAATATGAGCCTGGAACGAGGGGCAGAGCAGCTCTTCCCTTGATGCAGCCAAAGATGCAGTCAAACATCAGATCCGGGCCATTGCTTCGGACACACATGCTCCAGCACGTATTGTCAGTACAGCAGTGTACGACAAGATAGCAAAAAGTACGTTCCGTACCTGTTGCACCATCTGCTGCCGTACGGCCAGCAGCCGCTGCGCCAGGCCCCGCCGGAAGGGCGGGTCCAGGAGGGCCCGCTTACCGTACAACTGTCGTATCACGTACGAGAGGACGACATACAAACAGGAAAACAGGACGGCATGAAAGACGCGGCAAAAGGCGTCAGGCAGCTGACGAGGACGACTGGACATACATACAAACAACGAGGAGGAAGAGGAGACCGAAAGAGGGAAGAAATGCAAGAAAAAAAAACCTAATTCTAAAAATTCTCAAAAAACAAAGATAACTCAACCGGGAAGAGGGTTTGCCAAAATCCAAAAAGCTGCAAAGATGCCAAAATGCAAATAAAGACGGTGGCTGGGCGGCGGACGTGTGGGCTGCCGCGCACCATCACGCACCAGCATACCCCGTTCCGTAGTACGGCACCTAGTTCGGGCCTTGGGAATTTCGGATTTCCCATCGGGCCCCCCAAATCCTTGTGGGTGGTCTCCCCCCCTCCGTCAAGAATAGCCCTAGCCTTTTCTCCAGATCCAAATCCAGATCCCAGGTCCGATCCCTGAAAACCCCCACTTCCCCCCCCCCCCCCACACACACACACTTCCATCGGGTTTTCCCTGCCTTTCCACTCCCCCTGTTTCGCATATGATCTCCCCACACGCCCAAACCCCAAGATTCCCCCGCCGAGCCCCTCCCCCCCACCACACCGCTACAACCCCTCTCCGAACCCCTCCCCCCCTCCCCCCATACACACACGCACACCTCAATCAGCAGCTCATATTGCTGCCGCTTAAACGTAAGGCCCATGGCGGGGGCAGCGGCCGCCAGCACCTCCGCCGCGTTGAGCAACTCCGACAGACCCATGGGTCCGCCGCCACCCGCTGCCGAGCCGGAGCCGCCGGTTTGCGAGAAAGCTGCTGCTGCGTCGGGCGACGAGGCGTCTTGCCGGTTTCTCGCCCTTGACATCATCGCCGCAACTTCCCGTTGAAGCTCCTCGCGTCGATACAGTCTGCGGATGGGTCCGAGAGTGCGGGTACGTAAGAAAATGTGTACAAAAGAAAATGTTTTGGGAAGACGTTTTGGGAAACAGAAGAAAATGTACGAATTTTACGTACGGGAATATGGGGAAAATGTGCAACGCGCAAACCACCCGATCGAGATCCATTAGTCGGTGTGCCCCAACTGGTTGGACAGGGAGATGTCAATTTAAATAATAAAAATTTCGCACCGCAGGCCAATCGGAAAATCCGTATTCGCGCAGATCCGAGCGTGCTTTACCACCCGGGGGGGGATGAACACGGATTTCAACAACCCACAAGTCACTGACCCGGATGTACAGATAAGAGATACACCTCTCAATAATCATCATCATCATCATCATCATCACCACCACCACCACCAGCACCTCCATCATCATCACCACCATCATCATCATCATGCGATACTTCAACGGACTGCAGCAACCCTCTCTTAGACACGAAACCCGCTGGATAAGGGTGGTGATATGCCCCCCACGTGTGGACGTCCGCCCCAACACCCCATCCCCTCCTCCCCGCCCCAACCAAAACCGCCACTCAACCGCCAAAGGACCTCCATGGCTCGGTCAATGATCTGCTGGTCTAGACGGTACGGCGCAGCTACAGCTCCCGGGGCCGGCGGCGGGGATGAAGCTACAGCGCCGCCAGTTGCGTGATGTTGTTGCTGCTGCTGCTGTTGCTGTTCCCGATGCTCCACCGCAGCCGTTACGCGGCCTTCCTCGAGCCAGGCGACCAGCATGCGGATAGCCTGAGGGCGGGCGGGGTGGGGGGGAGGAGGGAAGACATAATAAAAAGGAGAGGAATAATGAGTACGTACATATGCATACATAGGCAGGCGGCTGGCAGAGGTTAAGGCCTGACTTCTGCACCTGGCCGACCCGGGTTCAAATCCGCCTGCCGGCTCCTCGGGTGTTTGAGGAGTGTTGAAATGGGAGGTGGCCCCCCATCATATGGATGATGTAGGACGTGATAAAATCAACTTGCGAGCTGACCAGGAACTAAGTTGATGCGCCGTTGATCCGCTAGATTTGGTTGGATGCTGGTGGTGAGTTGCTGAACCCAACGAATACATTCTGAAGTCGGATGGGGTGACGGATTAGGGTGCCGGTGAGCAGGGACTGCCCGGGAAAGGGGCCACTGGCGAAGTTAACCACCCTGTAACAACATACATATACATACATACATGCTAGGGTTTGGCACTACTGGTAACGCGCGACCATTGCCCCCGGGAGATCCCGGGATCGATACCCGTTAGGGTCAAAAACCCTTCCGATGGTGGAAGGCATTGCGCCCCTAGTTGATGGACGGTGGTGACCTGGGATAAAGTTAACCTGCGAGCCGACCAGCCATCCACTCATCCCATCGCATCCAACCGCAGCCGGCCACGTACCTGGGAGTTGGTCGTGTGCGCTACAGCCTCCGCCGCGGAAGCACTGCTACTGCTGCTGCTGCCGCTGCCCCCTCCATCGTGAGGGGCAGATGCGGCCATGGTGGCCGTTGACCCGCTGTTGACCTGCATAGGACGGCGCGGGGGTAACACGAACCACTGGCGAGTGAAGCAGATACCAGAAATATACGGAGAAGACGTCCAGGAGAAGACAAAAGCGAGGCGAGGGATTAAAACCTCAATAAAACCCGCATTATAAAACCCGGTGAGGCAGCACAGCGGTAAATCCACACCATTTCCCCAGTCATTTCTTCTGGAACTAGGGATACATTCGGAAGCCCACAATCGCGCAAAGGATGTGTAGCGCCATCTCACACGGTGCGCAGTAGCAGTAGCAGTAGCAGCAGCAGGAGGTGAAAGAACGGTGCTGCTTCCTGACGTACTGTGAGCTCCTTGTCTTGCTTACCAGTTGAAAGAAACGGCGTTGAAACTCGCGGGCGTGTGGCGATAGCGGTTGCTGCCGACGGGCAACGGGAGGTGGCGTACGAGTAGAGGTGGCGACAGCGGCAGCGGCCGCCTGTCGGTCGGCGGCCGCTGCCGCCTCGGCGGCGACGGCGGCAGCCGCCGCGGCTGCCGCAGAGACCGCCGCCGCGCCGGCGGCCGGCGGTGAGCTGTGCACGCAGCGACGGAGCGGTCCGCTGAAGCCAGTGACTGCCGCCGCCGTCGCCGTCGCCGTCGCTGCCGTCGCCAGCGGCGGCGACCAGGCGGACGCAGACGTTGATGATGCTACCGCCGGTAATAGGCGCCAAGTTGCCAGGCCTGTGACAGAGGCGAATATCGTTGGGTTCATGTTCAAATAAACGCCCACATAAACGCCCACCCATGGCAAGTGAGAGAGCCCTCTTTCGAGTGCTTTGCAACGCAAGGGGGAAGTGAAGGGTAGGTGAATGTGGCACCCTGGCGGGTTACGACCACCAGTGCCTGGTGTCAACCAGCAGGTTGATCATCTAGTCAAATCACTCTGTTGTTACTACTTGTTGGGTCTTTGGGGATTTAGGGTTTCGCCGTACATCGTGAAAACACACACGCCATCATGCGCCCCACGGGCAAGTCCCCGGAGACCTGAGCTGCGGGTAAAAACACAGGGGAAAAGCTTCCGAGCACGTCAAACCCCCCTGTAAGGGGGAGGACGTGTCCATGGCGGTAAAAAGGGCGTTCGTAGGACACACGCACATACATACATATATACATATATATACACGCTACATCGCGTCCCATATCGTGAAAACACATTCTGCTGAACAACCCGCCTTATCACATCCTGGAGGTGAGAGGGGTGTGGGGCCATTGATGTTGGTTATAGAGGCGCTGAGGTGGGGGATGCCTCGAGGATAGAAGAGGGGATAGGGGGGTTCCGGGAGGCTGGAGTAAGCCCTGAAACCGTGTCCCACAAGCCGCGGCGGGGGACGAGAAGGGATGTGGACGCGCGGAGGCAGCCAGGTTCCCCAACCCCTAGCCAGCTCTGTAACTTGGGCGGCAATGCGTTTATAGAAGCAATTCATCATTTTATGCATCTGAAAGAGCCGCGCGGTCAAAGGTACTGTGGCTCCTCACCTGCCAAAGCGCCAGTGACGGATGAAGGGCGATGGCGCAGCCGTGAGCATGCAGTCGCCGAGGTAATCGCCGAGGAGCTGCTGCAATTGCAGACTGACGTTTCATGAAATTTGCAAACAAGGTTGCTGGGCTCCGGAGAAGGACGACCATCCGCTGCTGGCTTGGCTGATGCAGTCGCATCCGCATGAACGAGTTCGATCTGAGAGCGTCCTGTTGATTCTAAACTGATGCCGGACGCAGCGCCCTTCCATGCCGCAGCCGACACGAAGTGACAGACTCCACATCCAAAAGCCGTATGGCGAGCAACAACCAAATGAGAAATCATTACTCAATTGTGCAGTTCTGGTGGTTTTCCGACTGCTTACTGCAAAGCGTGGTTAACGCGAGCTCCGTTACGCATTTCGACCCTAACTCTTGTGTCTACCGTGAACATGCTGCTTTTCGCATAAACATCCAAGCAGACGTCGATAACCACAACCTAACGAAGAGTGGTCCAAAGCGGCCCGCAGTGCGTGTAGAACGCTCCGAAACCTTGGTCGTTGACGTCCCAAGGTTTTGAATTAGTTTGTATGAAATCGCTGGCATTTGCATGATTAAGGCCAGGTAAATCGATGTAAATTTATCCTCGGGTGAGAGAAGGGCAGGCCCTCGCATAAGTGACAACCAGAGCGCAGTGACAACCTATCATTTCTACCCCCAATCTCAAGCCTTTCTTCCATTGCCGACCACTACCCACCTACCACCTACCCACCTACCTACCCACCCTATCCAACACTCAGACATGAAATCGTTACCACATCTCTTTTGCTAATTGCTTCGACCTCACTTTGCATCAGTCCGCTACACAGAGCCAGGCCCTCTTGTAACTTTACTCTGCGTGGTGCGTCGTGCACCTACTGCTGACACAGCGGCACAGCTATTTGCACCATACATTTTCTGGCGGGTTTGTCCGATTTGGGTTGGTCCCGAGATTCATGATCCTCATGATCTCACAGTCCTGTGGCGCCTCGCTTTCGGCTCTGTTGTTACATTGTTCCCTGCTGCACAACTTGTTCCTAATCAGTACTAGAAAAAGTGAGAAATATTTACAGCAATGAAGTCTATTACGCAGAATTTTTACGTTTTTGTGGGGCCGTGTGACTTTGCCTCGCGCCTCGGCTCTTCGCGCGCTCCTCGTGACATACCTCGGATGTTTTGACTGAAACCCCACGGACAACCGATTTTATGATGTGATCATGGTAATGATGAACTCCATGACACGGACACATTTGCGTCCAAAGGGGGCCTTTTGTACGATGTGAACATTCGAAGCGGTCCGCCTGGCTGAGGGCCCATATCCCAAGGATCTGTAGCACTCAAGGCGACAACCAGAAATTTCAAGCCGTAAACCAATCATCAACGAACGTAATCTTAACCGAAGCGAAGAGCAGTTTCAAACCTGATAACGGTTGTTCTCGCTAGCTTGAACTTTTCAGCCTGCCAACGAGCGACTCGAAGGGCTGTACGGCACGGCCAACGCGAGAGCCCAAAACATTTTTACGGTATTTTACTTCATCGACCTCTTAAGATACTGGGAGTCTTCTATAAACAGCAAGCCGTTCATTGTGGACAGTTGTAGGTTGCTTTATCTGCAACATTTTGCGTAATAAGGAGAGCTTGTAGCGTCTGGCGAGCTGTCCGGACCTCTCCACGGTTGACAGTTCGACCTCTATTGAGGCTCGGGCGAGCGCAAATTCTCCAAGTCGAGGACATAAGCGCTCAGGTATGTCTCAAGTAGCAGAGCTCCTTTCTGATTTGTCTGCGGTGTTTGTTCCCCCACCGCTTGCCTGGGTTCATACCCAGGAGCGCGCGCACTTCCCCGCCTACAGACAGCTTTAGCATACAAGCAAACTTCGCCTGATCGAAAAGATACAGAGGAATACCTCTTCTTCCGTCAGCTGTCTTTCCTGCAAACGCAGCCGCAGTTCGTTCTTCCTCCATCGCCGGTCATCGCCGCGGCCGCCGCCGCGCAACGTTTCTCCTCTCATAGACATTTTAGAATCACAACGCCCCACAGCCGATCCAGATGCCGCACTACTATATTCGTATTCTAGACCAGATGACGCAAAATTCTCTGCCCTTTCTTTGGATCTTTACACGCCTCTCCAAGCTCTGCGATTTTTCCTCGAAGTCCAGGCTCCCACATGCTGGGGTGATTTAAAGCTAGAATTATTGCGGTGCTTCAGCGCTAATCGTAAACGCTAGACGACGATATTCTTATTTGTATCACCTCCACTTTCCAAACTATCCGCCACCATTGTCCTTGTTGTCATCCCTCCCCTCGTCTTCAGGCTCCGGCGGTGTCTCTTTACATCTGCGATACATTAATACGTATGCGGTTGATCTCTATCATATGCAGCCAGATGTCACAACAAACAGCCAGATTTTTCCCCATATCCCATAACCAGTCTCTAGTGCAGTGCACGGCCAGCTGGCCCAATGGCTCTACTCTTCGTGAGTCTGGAGCCCACTGTTATAACCCCCCCCCCACACACACACACAGCCACGACCCCATCTAGCGTCGACACTTTCAACATCGTTTGTATATGTTCAAATTTGTTGAATAATGTGGCGCTCATCACGGTCATCATCACAATTATGACCAAGACCTCTCGCCCCTTTTCCTTTCGCCATGTCGTTCTCACCTCCTTGAACTTTGCTGTGCGTTGCTTTGCTGTGCTGTGCCGCGAGCTGGCTGCCGTACATCCCCTCTCGGCTGCATGCGCAACATCACGTGCATACTCTGAAAACGTACACATGCACAGGCGAGAGTGCGCACTACCTTCCAACTCCCAACTCCCAACTCCCATTTTAAGCTTCCCTTCGCTTCCCTTTCGCTATTCCTCTCCCACTCAACCAGGCGATAAGAACCCGGCACGGGCACCGGCTCTGGCAATTGAAACCTTCAAAAAGAACGGAGCCTGCAAGAGTGTGCGAAAAACCCAGTTCAGCTTTTCCCTTACCGTAAACCTATTATTGTATATCGACAACCTTTTAAGTAACCGCATCACGTGCCAAGGTACGAGGCAGGAGAGGGAGTATGCCCGCCGCAACGGCTTTTTCAACGATAGCGACAGCGGTGACGGCGGCGGGAGTGGCAGCTGCGAAACCCGCTTCGGCCTCCGCAAGCGAGCAGTCTCCGCAGCCACAGCAGCAGCCTGTGGACCCGTGGGTCAGTGACGGCGGCAGCGGCGCTGCCGCCGCCACACGCACCGCCCATGGCGTCGCGACTCGCGGGACAATTCCATCTGCGCAGCCGTTAGGACCCTGCGAGACTGTCGTACAGCTGCCGCCCGCGGACCCACGGGTCAGTCGCGCCATGCTGCCACGAGACTACGACCGACGCGCGTGGCTGCTGCTGGCGCGGATGGCACTTTCTGTCGTACTTTTCGCCGTTTTGACGTCGGCAGCGGTGACGATAGTGGTTTCACTTGTGGGCGTACGGCAGCTGCTTGTGCTGCTGGCGGCAGCGGAGGCGGCATTCGCGGTGTACTTCCGCCAGAGGTACGACACACGCTGCGCTAAAAAAAAGCTAACTTAAAACGTAAAACGGTAAATTCCTCCACGGCCCCGACCCCGGCCCCGACCCCGGTCCCCGATAACGGATGGTGCCCGGCGAATTTTGCAAAAGGTGAAAACTATTAAAATTTATCATTTTCAGGCGAAAGGGGATTTTGTTTTCTCTGACCTATAGGCTATCCGTCTTATCTCTGGTATCTGCTTGATTCGCCAGTGTTTCTCGCGTTATCCCTCCCCGGACGAGGCATGGGTGTATATGTACTTAGGCCATGGGAAGGATTCGATTATCGATAGCGACCTGACCCACTACTGACGCGCGCCCCGCGATATATCCGCGATATCGTCGGAGTAAAGAAAGTTGACCCCGGCAGGGAAAGCAATCGTCATTAAAGTAGGCCAAGAGGGGAGCTACATACGATACACATCATTTCGCATGTGGGAATGATCAGAGCGATGTGTTTACTTTGGGGGTCATGTACCTTGACTTGCCGAGAGTCCCTCCTCCCACCCTTGGATTAGAAATCCTATAAACAATACAGAGAAGATGGTCTAGTGTAATTTTATTTTATCCTTAACACCACTCTCAACATCCAAACCCTCAACCCCTCGAAGATCTGTGAACGCTTTAATAACCACGTCTAAAATGTCACCGAATGCCGGGTTTAAAACCCTAAGATTACAGTGACACGCAACCTTACGGCGGCCCAACCCCCCCACTGGTCAGTTCTGCTCCTTGGCAGTAGCTAGCTTCACTCCTTCGTGGTTCGTCTTCTCGCGTTACCCCCCCCCCCCCGAACCCCTGGCTCGGGCTATCAGGTACTCCGCCCTCAACTCCCAGCCAATCAAACACGCCCCCGAGTCACATGATCCGCTGAGGGCCTTCAACCGCCTACTCGAGGTGTGAAGGGGGAGGGAAGGGGCTGTCTGTAGGTGCACATGTATGTATGTGTGTATACATGTATGTATGTATGTATGCATGTGCTGTGTGTATTGTGTATTGTGTCCCGGCCCCTCTGCCTCCCGCGTCCACGCCGCGAATTCCCCCTAGCCTTATCTCGCTTGCGCGAAAAACCCCTCACACCTCTCCCCCTCCCCCTCCCCCTCACCCGTCATGGGTCCCTAGTTGGCGAGCAACTCGTCGTACAATATTGACGTACACGACTACTTGTCGTCCTGGTTTTGTGGAGCTGACCCCGGCACAATCCGCCAGGGCAACCTCGCCGACCTCATTGCGTACGGCTTCTGGTACAAGCGCAGGTACGACAATGTACGACAGAAATATTATCTGGCTAAGGGTCAGTCGGAGGGTTCAGGATTTTGTTTTCGATGTTCGCTGATCTTCCGCTTTCCGTACTCCCCTCTTCCTTACCCCCCGACCATTCTAGACACCTTTTCAAAGCTTGCGTTCGTACGCTTCAACAAAATAGGTCCGGAAATAAAAATCCGGAAATAAATCGGAAATAAAAGTGAATTCAAATTTTTGTCGAGATGATCAAGACCGGGTTACCCTGGTCAGGGGTTATCTGGCGGCCTTGGATGAGGCCCTGCTAAGAGGCTGAGACTGATACCTGGGATACCTTGGCAATTAATCATCATAAATATATTAATTAATATTAATAATTCTCAACATTCTCTTGCATTTTCTTTTCATTTCAGCGTATGCGGAGTACGATTCGTGCACCTTACTACTAAGATAACGACGCACATGTACGTACACACAAAACACACATTGTTTTTCCACCAAAAACACGCAGACGTACATATATACATTACATACATACTGACATATGGACGCACACGTGCCCCCCACAGGGGGGAGATGGAGTCCGAGGGCCAGGGGCCCCTGCTCTGGGACTGTGTATCGAAGATGCAGTCTTCCCTGGGTTTCTCCCTTCCCGCGGGCTACACCCACGGATTGCAAGTCATGACGCATCTGTGGGAGCCGCTAAGGGTGTGGTACAGGTACGACAGGGGTTGTCGTACAGACTAGACGGTGACTGTCGTGCTGGTGTCGTACATGCACGACAATGGGTTTGATCTCTAGAAGCGGTTTAAAGTTGGGTTGTCTACACTAAAACCGCCCCAAAGCCAGTACATAATATGTTTACCAACAACTGGAATAGCTGTTGCAAAGCTAGTAATAACAGTTGCGATAAATACAGTGCGATAAATACATTAAAAAATTATAGAGATAAGAGTTAGATATGGATATGTTAACTACCTGAGTAGTTGTACGACAACCTGGCTAAACCAAGTTGTGGTACCAACGGACCACAGTACAGCTACTTAAGCTACAAGCGCGAAAAAGTTTTTTTGGCTTGCCTCTGTGTTTCATCGATTTAAAACTGTTCTTGTGGATAGGTTTTATGTTTATTTCAGATCACAAAGATCTTTTGGAGGGCAGCCTTTGTTTGGTAGATGTTTGGTGGGTAGAGACGCAGCGGATGCTAGGGAAGAGGCGAAGGGGAGGGAGAGAAAGAAGAGCTGTTAGAGAATACCAAAATGATTTTAAAAGATGATACAATACTCGTAATATTTTAAAAAAACATAATTACAGGAAATGTTGAGCAAGGTTAGGTCAGGTCAGGCCCTCCCGGGGAAATATTTTGAAAAACCCAACAAAACTAATTGAACGATGCAAATTCTACCCACCACCTATACCACCTATAAATATTCGTACATTAATATTCGTACATTACGTACACCATTCCGACACGCGCAATGTATTCAGTCCCAGGATGCAGAAGTTTGGTTGGGTGTGTCTGTTCGTATGTGTGTGTTTTGTGCGTACGACTTTATGCGTATCGGTATCTTACCTCTGTATACCTTTATATCTGCACATACACTCAGGCCGTTGCTGGCGTACGGCATTACGGAGGTTTTAGCGCTGCTTTGTCGTACGTTGCTACTGGCGATGGGCTGCACCCTGAGTTCCATTCACACCGACCAAACTGGAAATATGATGGTGGCGATGGTGGGTCTCAAAAGCTACAAAACACACAACCATCGTCAAATCGAGAGGGGGAAGGAGCAGCAGCAGCAGCATCAACAGCTGCCGTACAAGGGTAGTGATGGCGGCGACAATGACGGATGCAACGGCACCAGTACGGGCGGCGGCAACACCCGTAACGGCAACGGTAACGGTAACGGTTGCAGCACGGCGCCGGTTGTACTGCTGCACGGTGTGGGCCTTGGGCTGCTGCCGTACATCAACTTGATGAGGTACGTCCGCGACATGGATATGGTATGGGTCTGGGGCTTGGGGCGCGTTTAGGTTTTCTGTTTAATTTATTTTTCCTCCTCCTTAAAGTCGGATGTGCATCTTAGGTTTTCCTTTCCCACCTCCTTTCCTTCCTGGGGGGGGAGGGGTTTGGAGCCCGAGGGGGAAAACTCCCTAGCAATGCTTTTATCCTAAAAACCCTTAAAACCCTAAAAAACCTCGTTCCCGGGGAAAACAAAGCCGCTGCTCCCGAAACGTCGCCATCGCGCTGCACCCTCCCTCCCTCGTTCCACCCGCACATTACCCGCACGCACACGCACACGGACGCACACACACATACATACACATACACACAAAAAAGGTGTTTGGTGGCTGCGGATCTTCCCGTGGTGGCGGTGGAGTACAAGCACGTGTCGATGAGGTTGTGCTCCATCATTCCCTCCGCGGACGACATTGCGGCGGCGGTAATGGGCCTTATGGACCGATTGGAAATGGAACAGGTGGGTGTGTGTGTACATGTGTATGTGTGTACGTGTGCGTGTGTTTCGTGTGTTTAGGTTCCTGTGTATGTTTGTATGTAAGTATGTGTGTGTGCATGTGCGCGCGACGGTTGGGTTAGGATTATGTGTTCCTTGCTGCGGGTGTTTCTCCCCGCCCCTAAAAAACCCTAAAACCCTAAAACCCTAACCTCCCCCCCCCTCCGGTGGCCTTCGCGGCCCTGTGGGCTCAATATTCCCGCACACGCCCCCAACGTCCCCCACCCCCCACCCACCCTGGCAGCACCTTCACTCGTTCGTGGTTCGTCTTTCCCCACCCCACCCCACCCCACCCCAC